ACTTGGAAGGAGGCTTCAGAGCCTTTAGCAGTTTCTCTGCTTTTGAAGGAACTTGCCTGTTTTGAGAGGCAGATGTCGTTGTTAGTAACACTCTGAGTTGCTAGGTGGATACCCTGGGTACACTCAAATACCGGAAAGGGCTGATGTAAGCCCTGCGCAGAAAAATTTGTGCAAGGCCGCTGGATTAGGTGGACTGATTTGCTGATTTTTCTATGTGCCATTTTAATGAATTAAGAGGAGGCTGGCAATTGTCTGGATAAGAATATGCTGGCTTAAGGGAAATCAACTGGCAGTAATTTGGATGACAGTGTGCTGAAAAGGTGGAGTTTTAGACTGCCCAAGCAGGAGGAGTTCTTTCATTTTCTTCGCTGGTATATTTTGCAGGAGGTGCATTGCTACATATAAGAGAGGCCAGGGTTGTTTGCAAGATTGGCTTTGTTGGTTTTGAGAGCAACTTCCCAATATGAAGGCACCAAACTGCATGCGAACAATATTCTACATGAGGCACATTAATTGATTTCTTGATTTCTTGATTAATTGGCTTAGCAAAACATGGCACATATTATCTTGCTTGAGGAAAATCCAGACAGCTTGATAATTACAAGGGGCCAATGTTGAGAAACAAGGGAGCCTAATACTGATCTCACTCCTGTCTTTGCTGTGTGATGACTATTTGCAATTTGTGGCAGTTCTTTTAAAGGTGTCTTAAGCAAACTTGCAGGTCTGAATTTTCTGATAATGGTGGCTAGAAGACGTGATCTTGAGTAGACTTTTTCTGTTGCTTGCCTAAGGAAAAACATTTGCCTGGTTCATTGTTCTTCCCTGCGTGACTTCACTCATGTCTGTCCAATTTTCTCACTTGGAGTTTTTGTTTGACTGCGAGGACGCAGCCTTGAGAGGAGGGGGCCGAACTATTATAAAGTTAAATCAGTTGGAACAGTATTTCTGTGAGGAAGTGTGAACCTTGCCTCTGATCTTGAGTGTTGGTCTTTTTAATTAATATGGAATACACATGTAAAGGAGTTAATCCCCCTCATCTCGTCCTCCTCGGCAGCGTCAGCCAGCCATGTAAGCACAACACCTAAACAGAATTCAATGGATACAATTCAAGATGAAAAGCATGTCATTTTCCATTGCACAAACCCCCATGTTGTTTCTTTGCGTGGTAAATGTGCCTCTCTGTTCTCTGACAATGATGCCCAAGACATCCATAACTTCTTATTTAAAAACAATGATAAACTTTTCCTCCTTTTTTCATGAAATTGTTATTTTTTTATGAGCAGGCTAGCAGTCGCACATTTTGAGTGAAGGCTTTTTCTTCTGTAAACCCTGTAACAAAAATAATTGTTTTGAGATAATTGAGTGTTGAACGAGGAAGGCCCTAGGCATTTGGAGGGGCTCATCAGCAGGCCTGTTAAGCTCCTTCAAGCCCTCCCCATCATTGAGGCACAGCGTAAGCAGGGAGGGAGGATGAAGTCCAGGAGAAGCTTGCAGGCAATGGCAGGTCCTGCATGCATGCACAGTGAACCCCTACTTTTCATGCATGCAGGTAAGGTAAGGTTACATCGCTATATCCGCCTACGAGGGCAGCTGAGCGGAAACACAGACCTGGAACTAGACAAGTCTTCGAAAATGTGTATAGAAATGTCAACTTTTGAGAAAAACATGCGCTCAAAGTACCACACAAAGCAGAGGTTCTCCAAGTAAGCACTTAGAAAATGGCACAAGAAGTCTTAACCTGAATGTTCATATGTTTGACTCGAAACTCCAGATATTCAGAGAACAAAGTGCAAGGAGAGAGGTGGTGAAATGCAGATTTGCATGATGTTTGGCAAACAGTCTCCTCGAAACTCCAACACCCTATTGCAATGTTTTATGGTATGGAAGGAACTACAGCAACAGCCATGCATGCAGGTAAATATCAGTGGAGTAAATGGGCATGAGGGGTGGTCTCCTCCTGCAGGAATGTGCGGGATTACCAAAACAAATGATTGAGGATTGTAATGGGGTTGTGAAAATGAATATATTTTTCATGGTTGCAGCTAAAATGTCTTCAGGTGATGACTGCGCCAAACAAAACAGGATAACCAGGGGGCCATGGAAGGGAGACAAAAACGCCCACCCGGGGGCTCGAACCCCGGACCACAAGGTTTCAGCAGTCGATTACAACTACTTGTGTTTCTCATAAGAGCATTGCGCTCTACCAACTGAGCTAGGCGGGCCGGAGATGGCTAACGCCACTCCGTGGAAACATTCTGGAGACGCAACATATATATATAATGATGTAGTTCTGACTTTGTTTTAAGACTTTCACGTATCTTGGAAATTCAGCGAAGCTAGGTTTCGATCCCAGGATCTTACACCGACGAGCCCAAGCCCTAACATGCTCCAACTGCGCCGCTTCGCCGCGAGACGCAACGTCTAAGCGACGTTAGCATTCTCATTTACTTTATCATCTCCACCTTTCGCAGGCCCGCAATAAGGCCTTGGTTTGCAGTCCTAGAAACCCACAACCAGTCACTCTTGGAACTGGACGCTGTGAATTTTGGGTCACAACAGTTGACTCCATTACATCAGAGCCCAGCAACAGGACCCCACACCCCAGAGAAGGCATTGCCCAATCCACCTCTTCCACAAAGAAAAGAAATGAGAAAGAAAAGTCTACGCAAGCCAGAGACCGAGTGCATTAAGGGAAGGTTCACGAACTAACAAGCTAGCAAGCTAGCAAGGTAGCAGTGGCCTGATCAGAACCTCTTCGACACCCAAACCACCAGGTCTGGAACCACCAGGAACCAGGTTTGCCTGAGCCGCTCCACCATTCTGGAACAGCAAGGAAACCATGCTTCCCCGCCACTCCTGGAGCATTGAAATAATAACTGTCTGGATCACTGTTGCAAGGATCTGCTTAATCAAATGAGGGGCTAGCTGGCACATAGACCAGGCAAGCTGGTTGGAATGGAATACCAGCAGTGACCCAGTCCTCGATCCCAGGTACTCAGGAAATCGAGACTGATTTCAAGAAATGTGAAAAATTACCCTCTGACTGTCAATAAACCCCTAAAAGCACCATTCATAGCCAACAACCTCTCTCACCAACCACTTCATCTAGCCCCGACCTGTGAAGTCCAAAACTGGAGAGGGTATACGCGGATGGCAGCTGCCATATCTAAGATAAAAAAGAGGTGATTGGTGCAGGTGGGTCTACCACCCTGCCTGCGTCAGAAAGTGTTGTGTGGTCTGATGTAGGCCTGATTCAGGACGGTTGGCTCTGATTTGAACCTGAGTYCGGAGGGAGGTCTGATCTGGACCTGATCCACCCCTGATTCAGGATGGGAAACGCCTGATTCAGAAATGCCTTACGGTAATCTTGTTGGCTTACTTGAGGCAGGTCTGAATCAGTCCTGATGTACACCTGAGTCAGGATGAACAACGCCTGATTCAGAACTGCCTTTTTTAATCTATTTGCATACTCGGAGCAGGTCTGTTCTGGACCTGATCCACACCTGATTCAGGATGAAGAACGCCTGACTCAGGGCTGCCTCTTTTTATCTAATTTGCCTACTTGGAGCAGGTCTGAATCAGTTTTGATACACACCTGATTCGGGATGGACATCCCCTGATTCAGACCTGCCTTTTTTTATAAATCTATTCGGCTTACTGATCTGGACCTGATCCAGGTCTGATTCAATCAGGACCTTGCCTGTTTAAGAACTGCCTGGTTCAACCCAATTCTCCCAACTTCCTGGAGGTCTGAGTCAGTTCTGAAGTGCACCTGATTCACGGGTGTTTGTACCTGAATCAGGAAACCCCTACTACTAAAACGTCTTTGCACCATGTATGGCCCCTTAAAGGCCACTTGTCTGCTGCATACTCGCTAAAGAAAGAAAAAAAGCCTACGCAAGCCAAAGGCCGCGTGCATTAAGCGAAGGCTCGCTTATATCAACGAAGTCAGGAATTTCTTTTAAAAGTGTCGCACACACGTGCGCGCGCGCGCGCACACACACACACACACACACACACACACACACACACACACACACACACACATGCACGCACGCAAACACGCACGCACGCATGAAGACAGCACAGCCCTTTTGCTCAAACCAACTTGCCTGTAGGTACTCAGACCTGAAAGAATTGGGCACTGAGGCTGCTGTGAAGGCAGCAGGCAAATGCAGACAGCAAGGCAAGGAGTACGTGGTGCAAGACGGTGAGTGTATGGCGTATGTTCACATGCTGAAAAGCTTCCTTTTGCCTGGTGCCTTTAATTATGCAGTGTACCACCTTTCTACCTTTTTTTTCCTCAGGTGACATCATCTACTTCAAGTTCAATGTGACCTCAGCAAAGAAGTAAGGAGTTCCAGCAGCTCCTTGGCCTTCAATGTCCTGACTTTGTCAGGGTCTGCTTTCATGGCCTGTGCAGGATATTGGAATTGACAAGTTGAGCAGCATCCTTCACACCAGCTTTTCTTCAAGAATTCTGTCCTCTTTGATCTCAGGGTGTTGCTTGCTCTCCGTTCCCTTTTCTCTGAACACGAGGCTTTGCCCTTCTTCTGGCTTCTCTACGGTGCCACCCTCGTTTTGTCAACCTTTCACTATCTGATTTTGACCACCTCCTTGTGCTTCGCTTCCAAGAGGCTTTCAACTTCTAGCAATCTTGACAAAATTAGATTGGATTACACGTGGAGACCTCCAGCCAGACTGTTTGGCTGATCAACCTTTGCCACTTTAGGATTGCTTTGACTGGTCCACGCCTGCCAACAGCAAATCCTAAAGCTTAAACATGAAAAAGAGAAGCTTTTTGTGTGAGATGCAAGAGGAAATCAGCTTGGTCACTCAGTTGTTGGCGCAAGAAAGGTTAAATTAGTGAAAAATCACTAGGCAGAGTCAAGTATTTTTTTGTCTCAAAGTACAGATCCCCTCATCTCAACACATGGGAAAGACATGTACCTCATCTTGTACTTGTCCACATGAGCATCGCACACAGAAAAAAATTTCATTTCCCCAAGAGGCAAGGTTGCATTGCTTTATCCGCCTACCAGGGCAGCTGAGCGGAAACACGTAGGCCTGTAACCAGGCCAGTCCAGGCTAAAATTCCAAGCAGCGCTCGAAACTCAGGCACAGCATCTCAAGCAAACACAAACTTAGCTGAAGCTAAGGCATCAGCTTGGTTCATGAAGTCTCTAAGGCATGTTGCCCTGCCTCGAGGTGCACAGCTGAACAAATGATGGAATTGAGTGCGCAAGTTTGTCAGATCCTGAGAAGGGCACTCCAGAATAATGTGCTCTTCATCTTGCACAAACTTACAATTGCAGACAGAAAGATATGTGATTTCCCTTTGGTCGCATGCACTAAGGACTCGCACGGATAGAGGGCACCTTTTTCCCGGCCACAAGGACTCGATCCGGGGACCTCCTTATCGAATGCCCTCTCCTCGCCTTTTGACCAGGGAGCTGAAACATGTTGGCCGGCTGGGTTACCTCGGTAAATCCCTAATTGCAAGCGAGCTCGCCAGGACACCTCTTTTTGTGATGGGTTTCCACCCTCTCCCCAACAGGCAGTTTCCACGTCCAGAGTGTGAGTTCCCGGTCTGAATCTACAGACATTTTGCATGACATGCTGAGGCAAATTCAGATGGCATCCTGGCGTCCTGACAGGATAGGTAAGGTTTATATCCGCCTTCAAGGGCAGCTGGGCGGAAACACAGAGGTCTGTAACCAGACCAGACTAGGAAATTGAATGCATTGCTCAAAACTCAGGCACAGCATTTCAAGCAAGCAGACACAAACTTGGCTAATTCTAAGACATCAGTCTGGTTAGTGAAGTCTCAAAGCCGCATTGCACCATTTTCAGGCAATGAAGAAAACAGATGCTGAAACTGGGTGCGCAAGCCAAGTGGCGTCCTGATAGGCTTGCACATATCCTGATCAAAAGGCAAAGCACAAGGGGCCAATTGTTGTTTGTTGTTTGCGGATCCACTCCTTCAACAGCTCTCCATGCACTGCACATCCAGTACTTCGTCATCAGAAAAATCTTGCATGGAAATTGGCATGCCCTGCTTCATTGCCATCAAAGGATTCACGGCGCCGCAATCCTTGACAGCCTTTTTGAACCTGGGCAGTCCAGCATGAAGGTGCCCTAGACTGCATGTGCAGATCCGCTTGAAAGATTTTTCTCAGCGTCTCACAGTTAGAGCTGATCATGCCATTGTACATCTTGGCAGCAGACTTAAACCAATAAACTGCAAGGGCATATGCCCACATTCTCTCAGAACAGCCTAGTTTGTGGTTGCACGCTTCACACCTAATGTGCCCTTTAAAAAACTCGTGTGATGCACTTCACTCGAGAATTCCTGACCTTCCAGATACTCTGTGTTCCACACTTGGCTGGCATACATGCCAGCTGGAATCGAGTACGTTTTCCCCAGCCAGAGTGATACATGTAGCCTGCACCCCAGAGCATGCGCTCATACTTTTCCAGCTATGGAGGACGCCCACTATGTGATGATATAGACCACATTGAGCACGTACTCCTCAGGTGTACAAGCTCAAAGGAAAAGGAAAAGCTGCGCAAGCGGGACTAGCCCCCAAGCATCACGGGGGGAACGACCTTAGCACCCGGTATAAGGCCCGCCTTATCAAACCTCCACAGAATCGAACCCACGACCTCCACGACCCTTTCGGGAATGCGGTCCGAACAGACCACACCAGGTTCCCGCCTCAACAATGAGCGGGATGCACAACAACAGACACCATGCAGCCCTAAGTCTTTGTGTAAAAGCCCTCAGTAAAGGCCGGTATGGCTCATCCCTTATTGCTATGGATGGCTACAGTAATGAGCGGTTGTGGTGTCCCTGGTGGATCACCATGATGCTAAACGTGGATTGCTGGGTAGGCTGCAGGTGTGTCGCAGGGCAGCATAAAGTCTCTAAACATATTTTCCTTGGTGGCGCTTGGAGTTTCCTGGTTGAATCATAGCATAGACCATGGCTTGTACACCTCTGCATTGTATCTTACATGTGTGCCCTTTGCAACCAGCACAAACGCTTTGCCACCCTGCTCTGTTGTATTTTGCATGTGAACGCTCTGTCGCACATTTGCCACTGGACTGGCGCTATCTTCAACTAGCTTCATGTACTAGAAATTATGTGCTGGTAGTGTCTGCCTGTGGACATGTTGAATGAGCTTCTGTTTTACACTGTTTACTAGCTAGAGATAGCCCA